GGGGTGGGGGGGTGAAGGGTCCAGAACCCCTTGTCATACCTGAGGTTCAATTGATTGTTTTATCTTAGAATTTAGTTTTGCTGCAGTTTTGAAATTTATTTTGTAGGAAGTATATGTTTGGACCCCAAATTAACATTTGGACCCCCATTTCGAAAATTCCTGAATCTGCCCTTGTTCTAACACTCCAGGAAACCTTTCTAGGTATTGTTTGCATAATAGACCCTTTTCAAATTCCAAATTACCGCTGTGTTTCTTGATTACACACTCATTTGCTCAGGCTAAGCCTCAATTTTGTGAAGAATATTCACATGTTCCAGTCAAGGCCCGTCAAGTTTCAAAGTGTTCGTATTGTTGAAGTTGTGCATTCTTTACTTTACCATTGGTATTTGCAAGTAATTAGACACTGATTCGAGACGTCTGAGCAAATGAGTCTGTAATCAAGAAACACAGCGGTAATTTGGAACTTGAAAAGGGTCTATTCAGTATTAGGACTGTGATGCCAAGTCTTCTAATAAATTTAATGATTTACTTATTTATGCCCATAAGGTTTTACCCATAGTTTTTTTCTGGTAATGGATTGTGTTCCACTTTACTCTATCATTGCTAAATTTTTCAAAAACACAATAATTGCTGTATTTTTTCCTTGCGAACACTGCATGGATCTAGAATTCTGGTTTGTATTCACTAAATATTTGATTTATTAGGAAAAATTGCCCCCACATGCAGACCACGACTGGCTCAGGAACGTTTTTTCACAGTTTGGCAAAGTTACTTATGTTAGGTGAGTACTGCATAGTATTATGATATTATTATCTCTGCAATAAAAAAGTGCTGTCTAAAATAAACCCAGGATTTCAGAAACTGATTTAATGGCAAGCTTTCATTAATTTTGTTTTGTAGACTCTATTTTTAAGCTTGAATCAACATTAAAATAAAGTCTGCAAAGCAGGTGTATTTAGTTTGTTTTACTTTTTATGTTTCAAATATCCTATTCTTCGATTGCACTTTACATCATGACGACCATATTGGTGTCATTTAACAAAAGATTTCTTATTAGCATCCATTGTTAATTGCACCAAGATGGCCGCCATGTTTTTTTGTCGTTTGACTCTCTTGGGGATGCTTACAGCTCATCAATTCAGGTTCTAGGTCGAAGTGTTAGCTACGAAAGTATTTAATGCTGCATTTCTTTCAATTTTTCAGTTTGCCGCGATTCAAACATACTGGAGACATCAAGGGGTTCGCTTTCATAGAATTTGAAACACCAAACGAAGCAGACACTGCTGTTCAAGTGAGTCATGGATTTATCTTCGGGAAAGTAACTGTAGGGTGGTACAGTAATTCCTGGGACGCATAACATTTTATTACTTGTGGATTTTCCGTCTTTTGCGATTTAATACACGATTTCTGCGATAGCGGGACCCCTGTGTGGAGTAAGTCCGCTCAGCTTATAGCTCAGCTGCAAGGGCTATTTTACAATAAACGATTTAATAGGCTTACCCTCGAAATAAACGGGCATTTATGTTTCTGCGTCCAATTCTAATCAGATTGTACATTCTTGTAATTTAGTCTATCTAATTTAACAAATTCCTGCGTTGTACTGTTTTGATTAACGGGAAATTAAAGGCAGATGGACACCACTAGAAGTTGCCGAGGTGTTAAAAACTTTAAAATGGTTCTAATATGATTCAAGTACGTTTTGTACCCATTACACTCGAGAACTAATTTTTGCCCAATATTTCTACACCAGACTTTCAAAAAAGAAAAAGAAGAAAAAGAAAATGGTCAGGATGAAGAGCAAGCCAAACCAAAGCGACGCAAACGGTCGCAAAGCGAGTCCGATGCTGACGATAAACAACCTTACAAAACGGAGCGCAAAAGACGGCGGACAATCAGTGAATCATCTGCAGATTCCCACGATAGCTCTTCTCGGATTGAAAAATTGCAATTAAAGAAAGAACAACCGACAGATTTGGCTGGATCTCATTCGAAGGTAGAGGTAGAAACAGCAAGGAAAGAAGACGATAGCTTAGAAGAGGGCAAAGGGACTACAAGAAAGAGGAAGAAAAGTGATAAGGCTGTCCATTGGGAACACGAAGATACCGATAAAAAAGACAAAGCTACTGGCGAAGTTCGAGAAGAGTCGGAAGAAGAACGACCGAGTAAAAGGGCAAGAAGTTCTGAATCTGAATCTTACGCCGAGAACACAGATGAAGAGCAAAGCAAAAAGAAGAAAAAAAAGAGGAAGCGAAAAGCGATGGAAAAAAAGGAGTCAAAGTTACCATTGTTAAGAGTCATTTCCAAGTGAGTATAAATTAACACTTGATGCACATTCTTTTCCAATTGTCTTCAACTTACTTTTTCTCTCAACTTCGAAATTTTCTGCGTCACTTCGCATCGATTTTTCTCTAAAATTACTATCTTATATGATGCAGAAAAACTGACCAATCACGGCGCGCAAAATACCTTCACAGTCACGGCGCGCCACGCCTCTTGTAACATGAAACAGACATACTATATGTGGTCCTTGAAGTAAATCATACTACAAGAACTCTGCAACTTTATTTTAAAATGGAACTGATCTCTATACTTATAAGCCATTTCATGGTTGAGGGGAGATATAGGTCGAGATGGCTTTTCAGGCATTTCACTTGTGGGATTCTTTTAATGGACAATAAAAACCCATCCCACACTGCACTGCAGTGCAATGCTAACTCGAACCAGATTTTTGCCTCAACCTTGGAATGACTAATGATAACGTCAAGTTTATTATGGTTGCCATAAAAAAGAGAGAGAAAACGTGGATGTACAATATTTATTTTTAAACCATATACCTAAAATAAAACCATTAGGACGCTTTGTATTTCAAAATCAAATAATTCTAAACACGAGAAAACTGTTGCGCGCGCGGTGTCAATTTTCTTTATGAAACAGAACTTCTAGTGAAGTTCTAGGCTCTTTTGCCCGCTCTCTCTGTTCTGTGTCGCTTTTGATGAAAGTTTAAAAGTAATTGACCTGTTTAATTTTCAGGTTAGAATGGTTACGACTAAAGCAAGAATACAAACAACTCCAGAGGCAATCAATGCAGGAATTGAAAAAGCAGCTCCAAGAATGTCACGAGGGAGAAGTCGACCACAACAAAGAAGAGACGTCGCATCAAGGAAAGAAGACAACCAAGGGTAAAGAAACTAATAAAGAAACCGCGAAAGGCGCACCTGAGGAACTCCCTTTTACGACCGGAGTTGTACTACATTTTAAAAGTTCGGATACAGAACTACAGAAAAAAGATATTCGTGTAAGTACATTGTATAGTTTTATCGATACCCTGAAACGACCTCTGGGCTGATCAAAGTCAGGACACGGCTCTGTAACTTACAGATCAAACCCAGAAACAACTTCTGGGCTGATCAAAGTCAGGGCATGGCTAACTCATTGATGCAATTGGAATTTAGCTTGTTGGGAATCAAGTGAGAAACCTAAGACACTCTTTTCACATGTGATAAAATGTTCAGGAATCGAACCCGTGACCCCAGAGGTGAAAGGCGAGTGCACTATACCTCCGCGCCACCCATAATTCACGTAAAGACTTTTTTTGCGCTAGGGTGATATTTGAACTAATGATCATGACAATCGCTTGTATTTTAGGATAAGTTAGCAGCGCACGCTCCAGTTGCTTATATAGACCTTGCAGACGGAAGTGGAGAGGTAAGTAATACTTTAACACAGAGATTATTGAGACGTAATCAATTTGTTTGCTGTCAAGCTTAAATTTCGCTCATTTGTTATGTAGTATTGGTGTTTAGAGCCTAAAGCCTGGTTCGCACCAGCGATGCAACATGACGCAAGCATAAGCACAGAAGCAAGCCAACGCAAGAAAAATAAAATTTTCCGTTCTCTTGCGCTTACGTCGCTTCTTTTCATAGTGAGAATATGGAGTTGCGTCGCTCCTAGTGAGAACCAGGCTTCGATAATTAAAAGTTGTCTGGTTATTGCAGGGATACGTGCGCTTCCATACTCCAGATAACTGTACTGCTGTTCTTGACGGGATGTCTGACGACTCTTCAGGACTTCAGCTCGTTAAACTTACAGGTTAGTTCAATCTAATTACTATTTATTTTTTTCTTTCTCGACCTACCTGTCCTCTCAGTACCGCTCACCTCCTCAGCCTACCGCCCTCCCTGCGCACCCAGCCTAACTACGGCGCGTGTGCCCAAAATAATAAAAACAAATAAAACAAAAGTCAAAGCAAAACGCATTGTTTCCAGTTTAACGGGATTCCAAGCGAGAGTCTTCATCGCGGCTTTACGGCACATGCCTTCATTTATTTTTAAAATGCTCTAAAATATTTTTTATTTGTGGATCTCTAACATTGATTTGTTATTTCGTACCGTATCAGGACAAGAAGAACGCGATTACTGGAAAAAGATCAATGCCGACAGAGTAGCACGATTTCAGGCAAAGAGAGAGAAAAAGCGAGGGATTGAAAAGGTAAAATTGCTTTTTTTAAATAATCAAACCTTTACTGCAGTAGAAAGGAGGTTTGCTGAATTGCGCATGCCCAGACCGTTCTTGCGCAGAGTTATTTTTAGTTGGATCAACCAATCAGAATTTGAATATACCTGTTCATAACCATAAAGTAACTATACTTATATCTTTAAGGTTGCAAGAAAAGCAGATGCCTTACAAGCCCACCAGCAAATAACACACATCAGATTTGATGATGATTGAAGCTACTATGGTCGGCTAGCATTAGGTGTTTGCGGCCAGAAAGCTTCACCATGCAAATGGGACTTTATTACGGCATTGGTCACAAGTCATACATAGATGATGCATTCTCCACTGCTGGTGCCATTTTGCCTGCGTTTGATAAATTTAAGACCTAGCGCGTTCATAAACTTTTTCCCACTTAAGTCCTATTGTCATTCTCTATTTTGATCATGCGATTTCTTTTTTGTTGAAATTCCATCGTATATATCGCATATTCTCAAGATTTACTTTTGAAAAGTAAATACTACTCAAGAGAAGGACACATGGTCAGGTATAGGAAAGAGCTTCGCGTCCAAACAAAATTTATCCAAATAACTTCAACTTAACTCCTTCAAGAAACCTGAACTTCCTTGATTCTTTAAGTTTATTTTTAATATAATAGCTCTGATTGCAAACCAACTAGAGCGCAGCAAATCTGTAGTTGTCAAGTTTATGATTGCCTCAAATTTCCCCGAGTCGGTACGATCTAAAATCCACTTAGTTTTGCCCGAGATATTGTCTCAACTTTGCAGAATACCCCCTTGAATATCCTTCAAATTACCCAGAAAAAAATTTGCTTTCTTTTATTCCTATATTTTTCGCAAGAATAAGCAGTTCAAATTTTGAGTCATGTTTTAGAGAGCAAATTCTTTAGTCAAATTTGAAAAGTAAGAAAAATTTATTCCTCAAACAGGGTTTTTTCGCACTAGGTTGTATTTTTCTTTCAAGGTGGCACTTTTTTCTTTCAAAGTTTTCTTATGTTTGATCCTTCTAGTTCGCCTCTTTTCACTCTCTGTTTCTTGCTCGTCCTCTTTCCATGGCACTAATGTTCGCCATAACTGATATTTCACGCACAGCACTGATACTGCAAAAACGTAAGAAATGCATTTAAACATTTTAAACTCCAAACTCCTTTGTAACATTCCTTTTTTCAGCTTAAAGCAACGCAATTGAGAATGTTTGAAGTTAAAGCACCATAGCAAATATTTCTTCTTGCCCGCGTTGCATACAGTAGTATCTTGGTCGAATTCCTCCCTTCCCTCCACAAGGCCACACTAGTTTTGTTATTAATACTCTGTAATGGCGAGAAAGTTAGATTTTTAGGTTAAAGAAAAACAATGTCAAACCTTTCATACTCGTATGAAAGAGTTTGGCGCTACAGCCATTTAAATTTCCACGAGAATAAAAGTCTTTCGTTAAACCCGCGTTTGAATGCGAGGCTACGAGGAAGTAATTTTGGATAACGCGTGAGAAAAGTCCCATTAATAGCATGTCTAACGCCTTAAAAGTACAGAGAGAAAAAACTGACTCTCTTTCCTAAAGTAGTTAAAGTTAAAATTAAGTAATCTAGCTATTGCATTGATTTATAAAACATTACCGACCTCCAACAGAAAAAACAGCGAACATCATGCCAAACAATATGAGGAAGGCAGTAGGGTACTGCATTTCAGAACATGTTTTCCACTTCTTCACCTTACAATGCCCGTAAACGTTTTCAACATATGGCTGACAAGTCGAACTTGATTCACACCAAAAGCAAGATGCGTCATGCAAGCAGCTCTCACAAGTCTCGGAACTATGACACAAGGCTGAAAGCTCGCTGGACGAAATGACTACTATCGTTATGAAGAGGAACAGCCCAATAAATATTCGCACAAGCACCATCCCTTCTGTTGAGCTTTCGTTGGCTCGCCGTGTTTGTGATGTCATCAATGGTTCTAATGCGCATGCGCACAGTTAATCTTGTTACCAGACCATCCTGCCTTTCTGCTAATCTACTATCCTGACACGATCGTCATGACGTCACAATAATATCATCGATCGGGGACCGGAAAGGAAAATTTTCCCCTGATCGATGACGTATATATTTTTCTTTCATGAATACTCCATTTTACATTTCCGTTCCAAGCCGAGGCTGGAGTTTCCGCGAATGATAAAAAGTATAGTTTTGCCATGCGCGGAAACTGCAGCCTCGACTTGCAACTATTATTCGTGGTCACTCGAACGGAACTGTAAAATGGAGTATTGAAAGGTCGCGATACAAATTTCCTTTGATTTATTATCATCCAGTATACTGCACTACGGTCTGTGTTTGCACAGCACGGTATAAAAAGAAGAAAAGGAAGGGGGGAAAGAATGAAACCTTTCTATTTCTATCGTGCACTTTAGAAATAAAAAAAAGCCTACTGTGATTTTGCTTTGTGATCCGCTTCAGGTTCCACCATTCCGCCTCCTCCCCAAGTGTTGGAACTTGTTTGCATTGTGAGCTTTTGTACATACATTTAGTGACAAATATATTCGCCCACGTCCACTCATATTTTATATTTTCCCCGTTTAGGCATTTTGTAGATAGTTCCGATAGACCACCAGTCCGGATACGTAGGCAAGACTTGACACAGACGCCGGCGCCGCCGCAAAACTATAACGTATTTTCCTTCCGTTCATTTGCTGTTAAATCATAACCATGCCATTTGAATTGGTTTAATACCCGATCTTCCTTCATTCAAAATCGCCACTCAGTGTTTACTGGTATTAGTCGCCAAATATGGGCGTATGGGCTACCCCAGGTAAAAAGCGAAAAGTTTTGCCTTTTATTTTTCATTTTATTTTCATTTTTTATAGCCTGTTAATACAGTCCCTCCATTCGCATTTACTTATACTCTGCTTACCCAAGCAAGCAACTCACAGATTGATCGAGAAGCCAGTGTCCGTATCTCGGCGAGCAGATATTGGTGTCATGGGCTACCTGTGGATTTTTTGAATTACAGATTCCTTCATCAGACAAAGGTAGATTTTTTTAAAAAATCGATGAAATCTAACCCAAAAAATGTCTTAAAATACCGAAGAATCTGATAAATGTACTGAAGGCCCGATAACCTTAAAATCTTAATTTAAAGACTGATCGAAATTCCTTTCCAAGTCATTCGCAATGCTACTGGGATTCCTGTGCCACATTTGATTTATGCCTGTGCTTTTGAAGTCCAAAATTCATTACCGAGTAATTTATTAATTTTAGAAAGAAACGTTGGCTTTTTGTTATGAAAAATATCACAGTTGAGTTGTTTTACTATCTACAATTTAATTTAATTTCAATAACACAATTGAGTCGTGTTATTGAAATTTCATTGTTTTGCTTTCTAAGATTTAGATCTACCCAGTTGTTTCAATTATATAACAGGAAATTGTCTCATTACAATTTTTTACCATCACTTTTCTTCATTATAAAAGTCATCCCAACGTTCTGGCGTCCCATCATGGTTCACTGAAGTGTTCCACTCATTCATTTTCTTTGTTTGGGCTCCCTGTAGAGTGAGATCATCTGACCATTTGGTGGCCTTTGATTGGCTAAGATCGTCAACGTCGACAAGCAGGTCACATGACAAGAAAGCCTGCAAAGCTAGTAATGGCGACTTGAAAGCAGTGTGAAGATATGTTTAGCATTTATTTTCGACTTTTTTTTGCCGAAATTGCCCAAATTTCGACTCGAAATAGGGAGCGTATCCTTTCCAAAAGGCCAAACTGGCAGTTTTGATGAGTAATAGGAAATACCCAAGACTATCGGACGGGTTAGTTTGGCTTCAACTAAACGCTCTTGTCACAACTACTGTCGGCCATGTTTTTTTGTTAATAAAGTCTCATATGAAAGTTTAAAAAACGCGTTGAAAAGCCGGTCAATCACATTCATAATGGCATCAGAGTATTTTTCATTTCTAATTTATATCTTTTTGTCTTTGTAGGTACAATGAAAGGAGTCCGTATCACCCGTATCAGGTAAGTAAATCAAGTTGGGAGAATCTCACCTGGAGATAATTGGGTAACAAACTTTCAAAGTTTATTCCTGCTTTTGAAACTGGACTGGACTAGATTTTTTATTAACAGAAAATAAGATCCTTAGACTTGAAGATCAAGGAATGATAATCAAATTTATTCTTGATCTCACAGAACAAGAAACAAGCGAATTGCATTGCGGACAGAGACAGATCACCAGCCGGGTCGAACAGCAGAGACAACTCACCCTATAGCTCATCAAATAGACATTCAAATTTATCCCCTCGATCTCAGAGATCTAAATCCACTTACAGTCGGTCAAAAGATGGGAGTAGGAAGGGTAAGTTATAGACCAAACCGTCAATACGGTATACGTAATTGTAATCTAGAGTTACCAAGTTAATGAACTGGAAATTTAAATAAGAAACACCAAAAGTAATCCTGGTAATTGCAGTACATTTTCTCAAAAAAAAGAACTTGAAAAAACCTTCAATGAAACCAGGAATAAAACCCTAAAAATACATCAGGAGGAATTTCTAGAGAGTTTTTTCAAATTGCTCTCTAGGCTATCATTCTTTGATATAATGCACCTGGAACTTTACCATGGTATTGATGTCCAAAGTAATACCTTATGAAAAGATATTTGAGACCTAAAAATCTTACACATGGTAAATAAAAGGAGGTTTCCTAATGATTTTAAACCATCAGGGTCATTAAATTAATTTACAGTTATTGAATGGCTTCAGTGTTAATAAAATTTCCAGATAAATGGTTTGGAAATAACAGTTGAGTAGCCAGACTATATAAAAATGAGATTATAGTGTGGTGCTCACTAAACCAAGATTGAATTAGATTTATCAATGTAAGGGTAAATTAAATTTACCTAAACAACAAGTTATCAGTCGTTTCAAATCATTTCACAAGCAATAGCATGAACTTCAGACTGAGTTTTGGCAGAAGTCCTGAAGTCAAAAACAAACTTGGACAACCCTGGCAGATATCAATCAGAGCTTGATTTTAAAAAGCTTGAAAAACACTCTATCCATGGCATGCGATTAAGAGTGGCTGCAAATACTATTAGATTAGTCAATAATTTAAGAGCAGGGATACCCTTGACTTAGACAAGGTTATGCAAATGATGAATATATGCTTTTGTCAGCGTATTCTAATCAAATCATTCTGGGAGTTATAGAACACTTGAAAATATATTTAGAAAAGCACTTGACTACACCTTGCAGAGCTCTCCAACATCTCCTGTGCTTTATGTCTCCCACTGTGAAATACATTTTTTTTTAATGTAAACCCAGAGTCAACTTGGTATTTTCTTTAAAATATATGTCACACAAAGCCGCAAGTAGTTTTATTTAACTAAGCAAGTCATTTGTCAGGCCAGAGGCACATCCCAAGTGTGGCAGGGCAACATTTTTGGAATATAAATTTCATCAATAAGCAAGCTTTAGCAATCGGCTATTATTTCTCGAATTTTGGCAAAATGTGTTAGGTCAAACATCCAGTGAGGCCAATTATTTACCAGTCAAGTGGTCATCTTTATCAAAGATTTGTCCGATGACCAGCACTTTGAGGTGCTGATAAATAGTTGACTACTATGTCACACCTGACATTGTAACCTGATGATGGGTATTGAACCTGAAAGCTCGATTATTAAATGTTTAACTTTGAAGGTTGTTGAAACATCTTCACCTATAATATGATACCAATCTACACAGAAACACTCAACCACTTTTCTTGTCGTAATTTGAGCTCGACAAAAGCTGAACAATCGAAATGAACTTGATGACTTCTTCCTTTCCTTATTGAAATATGAAGTTTAAGGTTTCCATATAAATTTTACATTGAAACATTCATGTTTAGGGTGTCTTAGTGGGAGCCATTGTCATTTCCTTCCTGTAAAACTCATTTCCACAAATGGGGTCAATCTATGGATTGGGGGTTGTACTGTACTGGTAAAGTTCCAGGACCTTTTTAATAACGACTCACACAATTATCACGGCAGATATTCTTCGTTTATTGTATTGGTATAATCATTTGCAGTATATTCAAGGGGATGCTATTTAGTTTGAGAGCTTTGGCAATAATTATTATCATACATTCTAGTCACTATCTCACTTTTGATTGGCTGAGAGCCCTCAGCTAATTCACCTTTTCGTCGCTAGCTTGGATTGTGTTACAGTCACCAAAAAGGTCGGACATCGTTCTCGGATTTCCATACAAATTCACTTTAAAGAGAAAATTTAGGTAGATTTCTTTAGTTACCTATCTTAACAGCAGTAAGAAAAGGAACCAATCAAGCTAGAAAAATGATTATTTACTTGTATTTAGAGAACTAACTAAACATTAACCAAGTAAATAGTTCATTTAGAGTCGGTACATTTTTACGGAAATTCGAGCTAACAATGTCCGAACTTTTTGGTGACCGTAACACAATCTAAAACAATTTATACCCCATGACGGCTAGCCCCGAAAGGGTGAATTCCTGATATTATGTGAACTTGAGGATGATAAATGTATTATCTTTAGGTTTATCTGCAGAAAATGCATTTATCATGTCAAGTTTACACAAGGTTCAATTGAGATCAAAATAAGCTTGCTTTTATATTAAATATTTATTCTTAGTTTATAAAATGTATTGAAAAATTGAATTTGGTTTTCACATGATATTGTAAATTATCAATACCTCAATGTTTTTTGTATCTCAGTCTATGGCTTTGACAAATAACAGGGCCTTGGTCTTGATAATTTACAATATCATGCTCTAATATGCATATAATATGTTATTGGGGGGTTATAAAGTAGGAATAAATAGAAATTAAGTTATGGTTGAATTTAAGTTTATTCAAAAAATATATTTTGGTCATTGATGAATATCATATAATCATTTTTCAAAAGGCTCAAATCAGTCTCCAAATGATTCTCACCGTGGATCCAACTCCCATTCCACTGAACGGCATACCAAGTTTAACCATATTAGTACTGATGAGGTAGGAATACATGTTTTTCAATCTATTCATTAAAAATGAAATTCAATACTTTCATGCACATAAGTATTTGAATTTAACTAGTTCAATTGAGCTCAATATATCTTCATTAAAAGTTCATTTATGAAAGTGTATTGAGGGCTAGACATGAAAGCTTGTAACTATTGGGCCACTTTTGTTTGAAATGCAATTTGTTACATAACAAAATATATTTCTGTCATTGGTCATTACCTGAAGATGCAACTCTGGGGGGGAAATGGGTTTCATTAAGTTGGGTTATTTATTTCTTTAGAAGTCATACAATATGATGGCAGATGTGTTTGGTACTAAAAGGTAATAGACTCTAAAGGGAAATATTATATATGTCAGTGCTGCCTGGCTGTAAAATGATTGATTGAGAGTTGGGGATTTTGCAAATGGTAACTGAGCAAGATTCTATGGCTTAAATTACTATAATCTTCTGTTATTACAAAACTGAATGAAAACCCTGAATCATCAAATGTTCATAATATCTTAATATTCAGAATTTTTTAATAAAAATGCACCACTAACATGGCATTAATGATACAGCTAAAGCAAAGCCAAGAACAGTCTGTATATTGGTGTCTGTTTCAGATTAAGAATAACCTAGCCGTTGATATAGAAATTGAATCATTTCCTGAATCTTGTGTTGACACTTTGTATCAATAATTGCTTTCACTGTCAGGGCTTCCCTTGGTCTCAGCATGTTAGTTCATCAGGAAAATGCTATTACTACAATTTCAAGACTGAGAAATCTCAATGGGAGAAGCCAAAAGAATGGATTGAGAGGTGTGTAATTATAAAAATACTGTAAGAGCTAGCTAGTAATTAAGATCCAATGAAAATGAAAGATGTGAGATCTAGGAGGGTTCATTATTTATTATAAGATTGTGTCTTTAGATGTTTATACAACTGTCATACTCTCGTTCAAGGATATAACTATATTATTGGCATTACACTTGTGTTGTAGAGAGAGGAGGGAGAGAGAGAATAAGGAGAAGGACCAAAATGCTATTGGTGCAAAGGAAGCAAGAGATGGTGGATTTCACAAGGAGGATTCGAATCATGAGACATCAAGAATGCGTAAGTCAAGCAGGGCTTTTATAGAAGTAGTTGTAGCTTGGTTAGTGGGCAGCCTTTGGAGTTAAAGGTGCACAGTTCAATCCTCAGGATCTCCACATCTGTTTTGACTTTTCCTTGTTCTGTGTAACTTCAGCTTTACAGTGCAACTACTGTAACCAGGGCCACTTACACTTTCCTGTTGAAGCCTGAAATCATTTTTTCAGGTCTTTGTTAACAGCGTTCTCTTAGATCTCTCATTTACTGTGATGATCAACACTATAACATGATTACACCACAGTTCTATCCATTCAATTCACACCACTTACATAGCTAACCAATCAAAATATAGAATGAGAACAATGCATTCCAACTTTGGGTAGTGGAACAAATTGGAAACATAGACTGCACAGGAATGATGTTACATGTAAACAACTAAATAGCTGTCATCATTTTCTCTTAGGAATAAGAAGATATGTTGAAAGGCTATTGTTTTCTGCTAATTTATGATTGGCTCCACTACCCAAAGTTGGAATGCATTGTTTTCATTTTACACTTTTACATTTTTCATTGTACTTCATGTCCATATTTTTATTGGTTCTAGCTGTCTAAGTTGCCCGTTTCAGTAGCCGCGCTGTAAACACCCATAATAAGGAGCACTGAAATATTTGTGAGGGTAAACACCTTCAAATGCTCGATACATGAACCCCTGGCTTGGGAGGACAACTACTCTTTCTCAGTTGTTTCAAAGTAAAATAATTTATCCTTTTTAAATTGACCTTTTTATGATACACAACCATATGAGGTTATGTTGCTGGAGAGCAGCATTTCCCCATTACCAATTTTTCATCCTTCCGTCAATTTAAATGTGATCCAATTCAATCTTGAGAGATATTCTTGATAGGGTTAACTTCATGTCCCCTTTCGCACTAATGCGAAGAAATTGCTTATTTGAATGCATATATGAGTATCACTTCCCACACATATTAAAGCTACTCTAACACTATTAAACTCTACCCCATATACTACAAGTTAGTTATATATAATTCAGGTATTTGTACAAAACTTATATTTTTTACATCTGCAGATGGGTCTAAGTTTTCCCTTAAAGAGTCACTTTCAAACGAAAACCGAGATGGGAGCAGGGCTCATATTGAAGACAGAGGAAGAGAAAATATCAAAGCAGTGGATGGTGACAGAGGACAAGGGGTTATCAAAACAATGTCAGCACATACTAGTGCTATACCTACAACATCTCAGCGGTAAGTATATGGACAGTCAAACTGCTATTTAGCAACCATCCATTGGGAATTGTGGGGAAATTAGTGCAAAAACCACCTTTGGGGAATTGACAACTGATTGCAGTCTGCAATCATTGTTTCATTGTTTCACATTGAGGTGAATAAGTAACTTAGGTTGAAAGACATGCATTTAAAGAGGACCAAAGGTTTGTTAGTGTATGTACACTATTGAATCCACACTATTATGTGTTTTTATCCTCTTAAAATAAAGTCATTATTATCATCATCATCATCATCATCACATCATCATTAATTTGATGAATAAAACAAATGGCTATAAAATAAATTTAATTTCATTCAGGTCTACTCCTGTGGCTGCAAGTTTATCAGGAAATTCTGTTGGTATGCTATGCCTTAAATCTATTTTTTGACCATTTTCTTTTTCACACAAGGACCAAGACTATGTGTTTTAGCTCCCACCTTTGTTTTAAGCAAGAGTTTTTATAAGTTTTTACGATACAAGAAAAGACTGTGCAGAACCAAAACCAAAATATACAGACTCATTGTGGCTCTTTCCTAAACTTGTGTCTCTGTATGTTGATGATGCTTATGCTAGTGTGAATAAGGCCACGGTATCACTGTATTCCATTCAAGTTAATGGTTCTGACCTGCTGCATTTAAACCACTAAGAGCCTAAGTTGACTTTATTTCTCCTTTTTTTGTCAGCATCTCCAGCTGGTAGTCTACAAGATGTTTCTCCGCCATCTACTCCATCTTCACGAGCGAGCATGTTTGAATCAAGCTCACACTCATCTTCTCCACAGTTAGTCTCACTTTCACCCCATGGCTTTCAGACTTCACAGTCTCCACTACAGCTCAATATAAGACATGGGGTGTCACAACCAAATGTAACCCAACAACAATATGCCAAACAGCAGTATAGCACACAGCATAACTTAACACAGTATGGACTTGTAAATAATGGAAATCCTCAAAATATATCTTCATCACTGCCTACTAGCCAAGCACAAAAATCATATGATCTTGAGATGAATAAAAGACCTGCCCTGCATCCCTTGCAACAAGCCACGTTACTACAGCAAAGGAAATTAACTGAGGTAAGACTAGTTGTGTAAGAATTTATTATCATTATTATTATCTTTCTGAGCTAAAGTCAAAACTAATTAATGCTCCTGGAAAACACCTTGTACGAGGTAAAGTGAATTAAAATAATAATAAATAATAATAAATACAAGTAAAAAATACCATTCAAATGCTAGACATTGTGCATTAGTTGAATAGAAACAATAAGAAAACAATGGAATTAGGGTCTACTAATGTGTATTTGTCAAATACATATTTCATGGTTTTAGTGATTTTACTCTTAAACAATTCTAAGCTCAAACAAGCAATATTTTTAAAGTGTGACATTCTTACAGTGCAACGCGCCCAACTATGGTCACCCAACCAATTTTTTTTTACTAGCTAGCCCATCAGACATCAATTTGTGCATTTGCCCGTGAAATCACTCAGTGTGACTGCAAATATTTAAAAACATTTCAACAAAAATTTAAATATATAGCTAGGAATTTGCCTAGGTGATACCAATTTTGGTCCCTTTGCTGGCTTATACTGAATACTTTTGTAAAACAATCTTTTAATTGATGGAAACACTTGGCAGGAAAGGTTTTACTGGCATTGGTAAAAAAAAATAATTAGTTGGGTGGCCATGGTTAGGCATGTTGCACTTGAAGTATGACCACATTTGATGTACTCACATACTTCTATGCACAAGAGTTTAGACCACCGTTATGGTATTTATTATACTTTGACTTCTTCTCATAAAATGTTAATGAGACCAATCATTTCTTAAAGGTACTTTCACTCTTTTTTTACACAGATTCGAAACCATGGTATCACCAATTATCAGCAAACGTTTCCAATGATAACACAACCACTGACATCAGCATCTGCTCTCGTCAAAGAAAATAACAGAATACATAAATCTCCTGGCTCTCCTGTAATATTTTCTCAGAGTCTTGGAACAAACTCTCCAGCATTAAAAGAACAATTTCAACCAACAAAAATACAAACTTCCTTTGCTTCGACATTGAGCAGTCAAGCGCAGTTATCTCCTTCGTCTGTTAGTCCAGTATCAGTCCAGCCTACACCAAGTGTCAACCTACAATTGTTATCAAAATATGCAGACAAGAATCTCACAAATCATATCAATAACTTGCAGTCTGAAGGGCTTGACAAACAGGTAATTAAAGTGATTGGTATGTTTAAGAGTTTTGAATATGCTTGAACTTGTTACCTGTTACCTATCCTCCTTGCGCCCCATTGCACATAGGGCCTTATGCTTGACCTAAGCTTCATTATGTGAGGATTATGGGTGGTGCGTGCTGCTAATGCATCACCTCTCACCAATGCGAACTGCGGATGATTCCTGGGCTTGGCGTTGTATGTGAGTGGCATTGCTTGTTGGTTCTAATCTCTCCTTCAAGGGTCAAGGCCACTATGTCATCGAGTTGTCTCTTCTTCAGTCGTTTCATACAAGGCTCATAATTTACCTATTACACATGTTCTGCTAAATTCTAATTTTATCTTTTGGCTTTCACCTAACATGGAACTTAGGGTTCTGTTTGTGATTGTCCTACACTGTGATATAGCAGCCAAAGCTTTTTTAGCAAACGAAGTTGGCAAACAGAACAGTTTGTTATGGAAGTGCATCATTTCTTTTGTTCTAAACAGGTTTTCATAGATTACACTCCATAAAAGGTATTGTGCACTGTTTTGGTACTGGTTTTAAAGAGCCTGTTAAACCGGTGTACAAAGTGTATCTTCAAACGTAGTTACCATTTTCCTCACTTTTAAAACACTGTTTTTCAACTTTACCACTTTGTTGGCACATTCAGATTCCCTTTGAAGAACAAACACTAGGTGTCAATGCCTTTACTGATAAGTATGACTAGTTAGATCTTGTTAATGAGAAATATCACCAGGATGGTAAAAATATATCATGTTTACAAACTTGTCCACTTTTAACTTAAGACTGGCATGCAATCATCCTAGTGACTTCTATATTTTTACTGCTTGGGTTTCAATTGTATGATTATATGACTGACAGTTTGGTTGTTTACAGATACAAAGATTGAATGATGAGGGATGTAGCAATGTTGGTGATGCAAACAAGAACTTAATTCAACAGCTTCAACTTCGGTCACAAATGGATTTGTTGGAAATGCATATTGACATTGGTACAAAAAGGTAAGATTATCAGTTGTTGGAAATCACATTACACTTGTGGGAAAATGTTCAACAGAGTGAAACAAGAAATATTTCTTCATGATTATTAGAGAAGTCATCACAAAATTCATCCATCTTGCCTAAAAATTCAGCTCATATAAGAATTACATTACTTTTTTAGTAAACTTAATTCTGTAGATGTATATTTTTATGAAAGTTAAGACCAAAATGCCCCATGCTTGCTATCACAGAAAAAACTAATCATGGAATAAAGCTGTTACAATCTCAGGAACAAGTTAAAAGTTATATTTCCACTTTTGCACTTACCTCTTAGTTATGATAAAAATGTTTATTTTTGGACAATTTGGTTGGATTACAAAGTAAAAGGGACTAGGGATGTACAGTTTCATGAACTCAATGACATCATGGCTGTTTCAAATAAATATGTTTGAGATACGTTTGAATTTTATTGATTGACATAAATTTTTATGTCCATCACAAAACACCACTCTGTGAGAAATATTTGTCCCTGGACATAAATTTATGTCAAAATGGAAAAGTGCAAATATAACTTTTAACCTGTTCTGTTGAATCTTGTGATAATGACTTTACAGTGATCACAATATTATTGAAACAGTTATCGTAGATTGATAAGTTTTACACCGTAGTGAAAATAGGAACTGACATTTCGGACGTTAGTCCTTCGTCAGAGTCAATAGAAAGTAAGAGTGAGAGAGATGTTTATATAGTAGAGGAGAGAGAAAACAAACCAATAAGAAAAAAGCAAGCCATAAAACAAAGGAAAACAAAAGGATCGAAAGCAACAATAGGTGAGAAATAACTTAATTATAAGCGAAGCGTTCGTTCATCCCGTGGGGATTAACGGTGCCAAGTGAATGAATTAAGCACATTTCTTTTGTTTTACGATGATTGTTGCTTCCGTGGGTTAAACAAAGACCAAAAACAACAGCATTAAGCTCAGAGTGATTAGCAGAGTTAAAGTGCCAAGCAACTGGTTTAGATAAATCTTTCTTGCGAATGTCGTAAAGGTGGTCTCTAAAACGATCACCTAATCGGCGGCCAGTTTCTCCAACATACAATATTATTATCTTCTCTTAACTTTACTAAACCAAAGTATTCTAATTTCTTGTTTTTCTTTTTTTAGGATAACCTCTATGAAGGAAGTGACAAAGACACTTGAAATATTATTAGCAGAATCAGATAAAAAGCCACTTACGTAAATTAGACTGAATTAGGCTACCTAGCCATAGGCCTTTGTGCCAAATTTGCTTCTGGTGGCCAGCAAGGACTAAAGATCCTCTTGTTTGTAAATGAAGATGACAGTAGTAATCTAAACTAGTTTCACAACTTGAGAAAAGGAAACTATTTCTTGATATAAACAATAAGAAAGTCTCTTTCTTTGAAATGCAAAAGTATCAGGAACTCAAGGCTAGAATGTTTTGACCCAGAAATGCTAGGGAATTCTCCTTTGGGTTGTTAGAATATTATTACATGATAGTATGTCGATAAATGATTATCATAATATTGAGGACCCAGGTCTATGCATTTCTCTCTTTCAATGTACATTTACTTCTCATGTCATTGTTACCATATTCTATGCATGTAATTAAATGTACGTTGGAGCGCAAAAGTCCCAGAATGTTTTAAAAAACTGACCTGAACCTATTTATGGCATGATGATCCAAGGATTTTGACATAGTTTGAAATTATTTTTCTCTGATCTGTCATGCAATTAGCATATTTGGAGTCTCATAGCAGTTGCAAGTACTTCAAAGTACTCCATTAATATAGCATTGAGTTCTTTCAAAACGATTAACACTAGGTTTTGAATTTGTTTTGGTATCATCTTACTTAATGGTCATTAATAAATGTAGGATGTAAAATTGAAAGACCTGCTCAATCCGTTGTTTTTTTTCCCTTACATAGTTCACAGGGGACCAGATATTGGTGGTTTTTTAATGTTTCAGTCCTACCATCTGCTATGTGCTTGTTAACAGGCTCTTTTGAATACGAGCAGGGTTTTCATTAAGGTTCTGGGATAGGAGTGTGCTCTTGGTAGCTGAGCAAAACTATCCAGCTCAAACTACCATTAATAGCTTAATAATTTGTAAAATGTTTACCTGGTCCCCAGTACTCTCCAACATTCATGATCTTTATTGTATTTAAACTTAATGAAAACCCTGCATAAGCAATGTCAGTAACTCTTATTTCCTGTTGAAATTTACCCTTGTGCTGCTGTCAATCAAAAGTAAGATCATTAGTTCTTACACTTTTGATTCAATGGTGGGTGAGGGTGTTTTTGTTGAACGAGCTAAGTTTGTTCTATGTTCATGCTACTAGTTTGTAATATTCAAATAATTTTTTCACTCAGTGTTACTCTACAGTTTTCCCATTGTAACTCTAGATCATAATCATAAATATTAGTTATTATTTATATAATTTTCTGTCTGGAATGTGGTTGTCACTTTTAGTTGTACTTTTGCAGACCTGAAAATCAAGAACATGAGAGAATTACTAAATATATAATTTTTTTATTTAAAATTCTATAATAAATGCCTTGGTAAAATAAGCAAGTGTTGTCCAAGAAAACTGTCATGAAACCAGCTGAAAAGGTCTTTTGTTCAATAAAATATAGTTAATATAAAATAAGTTTGTTTGGTTGAAGGGGAAACTGGTAAAATTGAGAAGGATTTCCTGAGTGTCATTGACCAGAACTTGCATAATTTCCTGAAGATAAAATACTTAATGACAGATTAAAAATTTGTGAAGGATAATACATTCTATCCTTGGTAACTCTTAATCAGAACTCAGAAACTCAATTACAATTTATATCAGTTTCTTTATTTCAATGTTTTCAATGAATGCTTGATATTATATCTTTTTACTTTATGTATTGATCTCACATTTGGTTCCTCCAAACAAAAAATGACAAAAAGAAAGTAAAGTTGTACCATTTTATAAAAATCCATAATTAGGAATAGTAATGATAAAAGGGTAAATTATACACTGAAAAGATGAAAAAATTTACTGTCCTTTCAGACCCCAGTCCTTCGTCAGAGTAAAAGAGAAGGAGGTGGTGGAAAGGAGTGTTGATATAATTAGAATAAGACAAAAGAAACCAATGAGAACGAGGTGGGCAAGGAAACAAAAAAAAAAAACCCCAAAAGACAAAAGAATGGGTTAGTTGAAAGCAAAGCATTCATTAATCCCGTTGGGACTAAGAGTGCCCAATAGGTGAATAAGCTGCATTTCTTTGGTCTTGCGATAATTAGGAATAATCTAATAATTTTTCACATCAATTATACCTTATATAATGGTTCATTACCTACATCATTTCTTTCTTCTCCCCCTCTTTTTCTATTCTCATTTTTTGTCTCTTGCTACAATTTCCATGCAATATCTGAACATAAAAACAAATAAAGTAATTGTAGCACAAATTCCCTTCAACATCATTCCTTTTTTCACATTTTATTTGTATTCCCAAATTTTATTCCAAAAGTCCGACTGGATTGAGGAATTAAGCGATGTCTGATGTGTACCCACAATGCAAAGGTCTGTTTTTAAAACATGACGTATTTGGAATGTAGGCTTGGCTTACCCAAGAATCCCTGCAAGCACGAGCGGCCATCTTCCTGAATTTTTCGATTCGGAGCATTGTTGTTGTAAAAGAACACCAGTAAAAGATTGGTTAAACTCAGGCGCTGATTACTCCAAGGCCAAGATTGAAGTCCGTCAGTCTCAAATGAGAGAAGTCGCCTAAGGAAATTACATATATTTTGTGGCAGCCGTGGAATTTTTCGAGGACTGTTTAGGTCGTGATGTGTGTTAGACCAGTACTCGGAAGAAAGCCTGTGTAAAGAATGTGTATAGTAGGTCTGGTAGTCCGCCCAGCTCTACGACTCTTTAATTACTGCGTAGACAAAAGAAGATATGGCTTCTGATCCAGTTAGAGAACGTTTGAAACAGCTCGACCAGCTTTTTACCTACGGTAGTAGTGAAAATGGCTCCTACAGTCTTGAAACTTTGCTTGATGTATTGCTATTGCTGTACGATGAGTGTTGCAACTCTACCCTCCGTCGAGATAAAAATATATCCGAATTCATTGAATATGGTAAGATAGCTTTCAATCTCTGTAGTTTCTAGATTTAGAGAGACTTGCTGTGTCCCTTCGAGGCTGATCGCTTTGTTTTGCTTCGCAGTCAAGCCCGTGGCTACAAAAACCAAGCAACTGCGACTGCACCGAGAAGACTTTGAGCCCCTTAGTTTGATAGGGAAAGGGGCATTTGGCGAGGTAAAGTCTCAGAACTTCACGTTATTCTTTAGTTATGTTAACTACTACTTCAAAATGACAACTGCTTGATAGCTTTGCTTTAACTCTGTCTTCTGCAACAGGTAACTGTGGTAAGACTCAAATCTACTGACAGAATTTACGCTATGAAAACCCTTAACAAATGGGAAATGCTCAAGAGAGCCGAGGTGAGTGCAAGCTTTGCTGGAAAACGCCAAGAAAAAATGACTCTCCTTGTCATACATATACGTTTACGCTTTATACTTTTTGTAAGACGCAGTCCTGGTATTGTGTACCGGTTTTGAACCGACGATGAAATTATTTATAGCGCGTCTACGTCTCTGGTTCTTTGTAATCACGCTAACTTCGGCATGAAATATTTGACAATTCATTGAGGTGGCGAAATATCATCCCTACCAAAACACTCCATAACATTCTCTTCCTAAATACTTCTGTTTTGTGCTTATAAAATGCCTGCAGACGTCGGAAAGGTTGAAATGATTCACAGCATGGATTCATTCTCTTCTCATTTACGGGGCCGGCAATGGGGTCTTTCTTTCAAATGTAATAAAAAATACTTCATTTATTATTACTGAAAAGAACTATCTTCCTGTGTCAAGCCCTACAAAGGTTTTCAAAGTAGCTCTACAATACAAAAATGTCGCCCTACTACAAAAAGATTTACCTTTTGGAATATTTCGATATTTAGTCTTACATAATTTTTAGATTCGTGATTTACTGCGTTGAATATTTATCAATTATTTTAAACGGTTTTGACAAGGTTAAATCAAATCTCAAACGTAGTTCATTTTAGTCTTTGAAGTTGAAGCTAAATTCTGTTGTCCTGATCAGTATTTTTTTTGATTTAGCTTTCGTGCACTTTAAATTTTATTCATTCCTACGAACACATCAACAAAATTAAAACCTGTCAATAAAGGATCCAAAACTTGTTACAAAGTAAACCAAGGGAAGATATAGTTATTTTATGACATTTCTGTCACTCTTCTACTCAATGAAGTTTCTTGTGAATTTGAATGGCTTTCTTGTGGATTTTCCAATGGCAAGATATAAGCTGTTTTAGCTTGTATTTTTTGGTTTTGAAGTGTATAATATATACAGCGTACACATATATACACACAGATGGGGTCAAGACAGTTCTAGAAATTATAAACTGCTGGATATTGAGAAATTTCTTTGGTCCAACAGTTGTCATAGACATATTTTCTTCATCATTTTATTCTTTGAGTTAGCTTTTCTACCCTTGGCATACATCACAGATGCAAAATACAGTTTAACCTGTTGAATCTGTCAATTTTGTGGCTTGTAATGAGAATACCTTTCTTTAAAAGGAAGTTACAATCTGTTCAAGGTTTCGCCTCAATGGGTCATTTATTTACAATATTGTTTGACTAAACCCATTTACTTGGCTTCACACATTCTAGAATCTTATTGTTCTGTTCCATAATGTTAAAAACGGGTTTCACCTCTTCATCATACAAATTCCAAGCAATAATGTTAAGCTCTTGATTGGAATCTGTGTTTATTTGATAATAACATTACTTCCTGTGGTAAATATTCACGGTTTATTTTCCCTGGCTGTTAAGAAGTCAAATTCCAAGAAATGCTGTATCTGACTGCACCAGTCTTATAATATTGTATTTCATGGTTATTTTGTCTACCGTATCCTGTTTAATAATTATTACTAAACGTACTTTATTCACTGTACTTCTTTGTGATGTCTGATAATGGCGTCAAGCCTTAGCTAAGACCATGAAATGCTAATTCTAAGTCATGACCAGCTTGATTAGTCATTTGTTTCTTTATTCTACTTCGTCATCTTCCTCCTTGGATCTTAATGTAAAGGCTTCTTTTTTCATTTGTTCATAATACAAATTCAAAGAAATAATTCCATAGCCTAGTCACTTTAAATGTCATAGATCCACCAGCAGTCCTAGTTATATTTATATATAACGATGACATTTGAAGTCTTATTTTAGACAGGTAGCCCTTGTTTTTGTCTGGGTTAAAGGATCAGATCTGTTGAGCTCTTTTTTTATCGATGTTTCTGGTGCCTGGATATACCATTGCCTATAATCAAACAATATACAATGAGTATTCCAGCGCTACCTAATGATGGATTAGAGAAGTGTTTTTTTTGTAATACTTTGTCACATTGTATTTTTTGTGAATCTTGGGTATTCATTTTTATGTTCCTAATATATAAACTGTAAATAAGTAATTCTTTCATTTGAATTAGGAGTATTTGTTAGGTTAGTATTGAGACAAAGTTATTTTCAGTTCAAATCATTTAATTTCTAGTAGCAATAACAATGTGCCTTCACCATATAAATTACATGGTTATGATTGTGCATTACTGTATGTAAAATAATATCAGCAAGTTTTGTTCATGATTTATAAATTAAAGTTAATTGCAGCACACCTTATCAGTCAAAAAAAAGAAAAGAAAAGAAAACCATTAGTTGGTTTGCTCCAACTATTTGACTTCCTGTTCTCAAAATGAAATACTGACTCATCATTCATTTATATTTTGCTTACAATCTTTGTCCACATTCTTTATTTTGATTGTAGGCTTCTTGAGAAGGCCAAAACATTTTGTATCTCATATTTTAATTGACAAATTATGAGAGATATTTCATTACAGTATCATTAAATGCATTTTTTATGGTCTGATATTTGGTATCTAATTTATTGTGTCTTGTATTAGATGAAAAAGTTTATCTGCTTTGTTGAGTTTTATATTCACATCTGAAAAACTACCTTTTTTCTTTATACTAGCAACAATTTTTTTGATATTACTTCATGTATGGGTTACTCCTTGAGAACTGAACAGGTCTCTTCAAACATTAAAATCTCAAATTACTTTATTGATCAGATTGTGATTCCAAATGTGGGACAGAAAAGAAATTATATAACCTTTATCTAATTATACTACAGTGTATATGTCTGGTCACATCTTCAGCATGTGATTGTTTTACTGCTAATAATATTATTTCAGAGGCCTTGAATCTTTTACATGTGTGGATTGTTCTTGATCTAAAAACATTAAGTATGTTGTTGTTGTCTTTCAGACGGCATGCTTCAGAGAAGAAAGAGACGTCTTGGTATATGGTGATAGACGATGGATAACTACTTTACATTATTCTTTCCAAGATGATGATTATCTGGTAAGCTGGCCAATGGAACACTGTGTTGAATATTGTAATATGGTAAAATCTTTTCTGTCACACCTTTATTAGTTAACATGTCTTGGTTCAAATGACCTTTGTTAGGTCAGCATAAATAGTCATTCAATATTTGCAGACACTCGATAGCCATTGGTCCATCAAACAATATTTAATTTAAGATGTATTTTTCCCCTCAAGCTAACTTTCTCATAAAAAATCAAGGCTCAAAAAAAAACATTTAACCAAGAAGCACCCACAACACATTTTTAATATTCAACATAACCTTTTGGCCAACAGAAAATAAAAAGTTTCATCAATAAAGGTGTCTATGGAAATTAAGATTTCAAAAAGATTATTTAGTTTTTTTAAATGACTAATATATACTAGACCATAAGCGAACTTAGTTTTGATAAAGATGTGATAATTCTAAAGAGAAAGAATATTTAAAGTACAGCTTCAATTGTTTTGAAAATAAGGTCATAAATCTAGTGTGTTTTGTCTTCAGATCTTGAAATGTTTTTTTTTTCTTTTCCAAGATATTAAAACATTGATGCCTTTGACATCTTAAGTATTTTTACTCCCAAACAAAAAAACAGAGAAATAAGAAGAAATTTTAAAAATTTTTGGAACTAAAAAGTGAAATTTGTTAAAGAGTCAATTAAATAATCTTGAGTAATAAAAACCCCCTTTGACTTAGGTGTTAGAGAATTAAAAAGGCTTACTGATAACAATGAAAATAAGAATCACTTTAGTGATGTAATATGTTGTGCAAGCATCTAAAAAATAATTATTCACAGCTATTGCTGATTTGATTAGGTTATAGCAAAAATATTTCAGGACATTATGGTCAAAAAATATTTTAATTTTCAAGAATTTGTATTAAAGTGAAAATTTAGATTGACTATAATTTAAGCAAAAGTAAAAATGAAAATATTTGATTGAGTGATATTGACAGCTTGTCAAATCTGATGATTGAACAATGTTAATTAGCTACTTCAATAATTACATAGCACATTGAGTTTGTAAGCTGGCCATTTCTTTCTTCTTCCTGCTCTAAATATGTCTTGTTATTTTGGTTTCAATTCATATTTTTTTGTTAGTAAGAGGAAATTGTTTTCAATAATGAGCAATAATGGCAAAAAGCGCCAAAAACTAGACTTTCGTATGAGTTTTGAATGCCTGTTTGAAGTGGTATTTTCAATTGTACAAAGATGTTTTGTAGCATTTGTGTTAGAATGTTGCTTTGTCAGGCTTTTTTATAGAAAATATATGGGAAATAAGCAAATGAAGGCCTAAATCTCAATTTTGAATAAAATTTTTGCTTTGGGTTAACACTTTGATTCCACTTTCATCGGTCATCTCCACTTCCAAACAAGTTAAACTTTCTGAATAACAAGATTTTAACCTTGTACAACACCCTTTCTTCAAGTAAATAGTTTTTGGCGCTCACTGCTTGAATACGAAAAGAATTCTCTCTTAATATAAAATTTGCACATATATATCTCTATACTACTATATTGGTATAATACACTGCACACTTTAGAAACACTAATCAATGTGTTTTTCTTGCTATTTGAGTGCCTTGCAGTTATTACAGACACAAGCAGCAATTTCCTATTGTTTTTATTTAAAAACATTTCTACTACCTGAGTATCTCTCCATACTTTAATATAAATACAGTTAGTCAGGCAACTAATGGAGGCATTATGTCTATTTTCATCCACCAATTATTTTCTATTTCAGTACTTTGTGATGGACTACTATAGTGGAGGTGACCTACTCACCTTACTCAGTAAATATGAAGACCACCTTCCAGAGGAGTTATCTAAGTTCTATGTTGCTGAAGTAGTACTTGCAGTATCTGCTATACATAAAATGGAATATGTCCATAGGTGAGGACAACTAAAGTAAAACTAAATATATTTTCTAGGTAATTGTCATTAATTGATTAACTTGATAATGCAGTATGTATATCCATTATGTAGTGCTGGAGTTGTCTGGGTGTTGTGTCAATATGGGGGAGGGTTGGGAGGTGCGAACCCCCTTTCGTACCTGAAGCTCAATAGTTCCCTGTTGAAAGATAACCATACCTTTGCATCATGGTGAGAGTAGTGAAAAGAAGGGATTACTAGCTAAAAACTAATGTGAGCTGCGTCGTTGTTTCTAATGAAACAGTAATGATAAAAAGGTAAATTATACACCATGAAAAGATGAAAAGATGAAAAAATGAAAAACTTACTGACGTTTCGGATGCTAGGCCTTCATCGGAGTAAAAGTGAGAGTAGTGGTGACCTTGCAAGGGCAGAGACCTTTTTTAATGGCTTGGACAATTATACACAAGTCTCTATCATTGCAAGGTCACCACTGTTCTTGCATCAATGCCTAGGCACATGTACAAATACCCTGTTTTATCCTATAATTTAGTCTTGCCACACGTTTGAAGTAAATTTTATTATTTTTGTAGAAATTTATTTTAAATATGTGAACAAAGGGAAGGATAGATTGAGTGTTTGTGAAAAGGTTCAACGGGTTTTACTTTGTATAAATTTGGAACCCCCTTTCAGAAATTCCTTGATCTACCCTGTGTGTGTTGCATGAATTATACTAATGTGTGCCATATAAAGTGGTATTTGTGACTGAGAATATATAGATATTAATATGAATATGCAGCACTAAAGAATTGTTGTTATGATGATGATGATAACAACAATCAATTAAAGCAGTCATGGTGTTTCGGGCCCATTGTATTGACTAATACTCAAGTCAATCAAAGGAAAGGACAATACCATAACTGATTTTTTTAAATCGTACATCCTCCTCATTATTTTTAGATAAGCTATGGTTTGTAAATGAAAATGAAAAAAATAAAGGCTTTTAAAAGTTACCTAAAGTGTTTCTAAAAGGACCATGTCAGTTGTCTTTAAAATCCTATATTGAACATAACAGGTGTTTGCAAGTGAACACATTAGATGATAAGAGCTGCCATGTTCTATATCATACAAGGACTTCGTTATCGATCATATAAATAAAAGTTATATTGTCAGTTATTTCGTTTATTGACTATTAAAAGCCAATGAAAAGATAAACCTATTTGTTCACTGTTTCATGAATACAGCTATTTCCAAAAATGTTGAATAGTGAATACTGAAAAGTGTATAGTGAATAGCAACTCATGTCATCGTGGCAGATAATAGCAGTCTTTAGGAAGCCAAATTCAGGTTAAATATACATGCTTTAGATAATGTATCAAAAATATTCTATTTTATTAAGTACAGAATGGTTTTGTTTACATTTTAGGTAAACCTGCATTGTGTTATTCAGTATGCAGTATTTAGTACATGTATGCAGCATTCAACAAATAGCTGTATACATTTACAACAGATAATGTAAAACACAGAAAAATGTAGTTACAGTAAATGATGTTCAGTATTTTCTCTACTTGACTACTGTGCCAGCTGGTCTAATTAAAATAGCATTAGATAGGACTATATTCATATTATCTATGAAAGTTTGCTGTATTTGTTTTGCTAATTCAAATTGCTTTTAATGTTCCAACAGAGATGTCAAGCCTGACAATGTACTTCTAGATATTAGTGGACACATCAGATTAGCAGACTTTGGCTCATGTCAAAAGCTTGCAAAAGATGGGACTGTAAGTCTTTTAATCACTAAAGCGGCATTACTCTGTAATGTAATTTATTATTATATTTATTTTATTTATTATTATCCATTATTATTATTACTACTTTACAGCCACCATATTCTTAATTAATTAAGTGCCTTAAATCAAGACATCTTTTTATGGACAATACATACTTGATACTTAGTTCTACAAAGCTTAAGATTACCATCAGATAAAAGAGATTGTCATATCTAAATGCCATCTCATATTCTAAACATGACCATCAGGGGGGCAATGTTAATTCTTAAAAATAGTATCTATATCTAGTAAAAGGAACCAAAGAATTCAAATCTCTTTAAAAATACCTTTTATTTTGTCTGTGAGGTGTTGAGATTGGAGTTAAGGTCTCTAGTAAATGAAACATTACATAAACATTTCATTGTGAAGAAACCCAAGAATTAAAGGGGGACTAGCACAAAAATCATTCCAGTTTTCATTTAGCTGAAACTTTACTGGAAGTAATATTTCAGAGCCGACAATGAGGACTGGATGGGATTTCAAGTCTAAGCAATAGGTTCAAGTCTGAGGCTTAGCCGAGGACTGGAACTAACTGCGCGGACTTGAAATCTCGTCCAGTCTGATATTGGAGGTTTTGAATAACCCTTAAAGGTCTAATAATCACTTGTTAAAGTTTTTTCCTGACATTCAGACGGGAAGTATTATATTTTAGTATGTGACGTCATACGCTCAACACACGACATTGCTCCATACATTTCTTTGTATTTTATAATCAAATTATCTCCAGTTTTATACTCAGTATTGAAGAAAAGATACCATAAAACAATTCTAACCACAAGCTATGCACATTAAGTCCCTAAGCGGACCTTTAGGCTTTTAAAATATCTGTTATTATAAAACATTTTTGTTGTTGTTGTTGCTTGTGTGTTAGGTTTGTTCATCAGTAGCTGTTGGTACACCAGATTACATATCTCCTGAAATCCTTCAGGTAAGTTACAAACTAAAGCAGTTTTCACTGTCAAAAGCTATGAGCCTCAAGTTCAAAGCTTGCAGTGTCCTGTGGACTTGCTCACTACAATATTTCGCCCCTGTTATTATGAACCTTTTCACTGCCCCTAGGAGTTTCAGGATTATGGGACTCCACTTATATTTTTTTATTTTTAATCTCTGTATCCACTGTGATCTGTTTGTAGGCCATGGAGGATGGAAAGGGCAAGTATGGTGTAGAGTGTGACTGGTGGTCACTTGGTGTCTGCATGTATGAAATGCTCTTTGGAGAAACACCTTTCTATGCAGAATCTCTATTGGAGACATACAGCAAGATCATGGCACACACAGTAAGAGTTAGGAGCATAATGTTCATGTGTCTATAATGTTTCTCTTCAAGATTGATGTCGGAAAATTGAGTGGCACAAAAGTAAAGAATTCACCTTTCATTGCTGTGGGTTCTAAAGGGTTGGATCACTGGTTGAGTCCGTATTTTGGGGAGTGTTTACTTAAGGTGTTAAAAGATATTATATTGTATTGATAATTTTTTTCTTTTTTTTGCTAGGGAAAGTTCAACTATCCCTCTGATATTGAAGTGTCTAATAATGCTAAGGACTTAATGCAAAGGTATAGTATAGTCATCCGGCATGGCTTTTGCCTATCTCATTATCGTGACATGAATTTAGATTTTGCACTTAATTAATCTTTTACAACAATGACTACAAGATTTATTTTTGTGTGTGTTTGTTCACCATAAGTATTTATTGATAAAATTCTTCATATTATTTTAGGTTATGTTGCAAAGCATCCCAGAGATTTGGCCAAAATGGTCTAGAGGATTTCAAAAATCACTCCTTCTTTGAAGGCATTGATTGGGACAATATTCATTATAGTAAGTAAATCATAACTACTGTACCAGTTGAAAGGCAGGTTTCTTTTATGGCTTGACATCTTAAATGCCTCAGAGATCTATACATATAATACATGTAATATAATATATTATTTAAACATATCTTTTCTTAGGAAAGTATTTACTATGATTTTTTTCTTTCTATTCTTAGTGACTCCGCCATACATCCCAGAAGTCAACAGTCCAGATGATACATCAAATTTTGATGTTGACATTGAAGAATCCAGAGCAAATGTAAGATCATTATGTCTTTTAAGTAAAAAACAAAACACCTAAAATCGGCAAAAAAATACCTTGACCTAGCATAGTTCTATTGAGAAGCCATTCTTCTCCTACAAGTTGCTCCCTTCCCATAGCAATGTGAAATGGACAAATGCTCATCTGCCAGCCATTGTTAGGCAAAACAAGATTGATAACAGGGAGGGAGGTTTATATTATCTGGGAATAAATGTTAGAGCAAAAATTTGCAAATATTTCCATGACATTAGAAATTAAGCATAAGGGTGTAATCATCTTATTTGCCGATTGTAGTTTTCTTGTTCTTCTTTTCATTATCCTTCATTTTCTATTTGTTTTTTATTCACCTAACTTGAACTTTTCATTGATACTTACTGTGATCATTCCCATTCATTTACTTTATTTTCTTTACCCAGTCAATTTTGGTTCACATGGACTTACCATAAGTTTCATTTTTCTTTGATTCTCAGGAGGCCAACAGACCTTCATCCATGTCTCCATTTACTGGTCATCATCTCCCTTTCATTGGTTTCACTTACACTGAAGGAAGGTGAGAAACAAGATAATATCAATGGTGGATCATTGGCAGTGTGTGGGGGGGGGGGGGGGGGGGGGGGCATGGCTCTTACTTTGTAAATCTGAGGACATTGAAGCACAAGTTAAGCCCTAATTTAAACTGACCAATATGATTAAACAATGTCTGGCCAGAACTGAAACTTGTCCAGTCAAACCTTTACCTTCCTTGTCATCTTGACCGGTAACGTTGAGACAGAAACAATGCTAAAACATATTTGGCCAGCGATTATAATCAGCCATTACTTAAAGCCCTGCAAAAAGTGAATGATTGATAATGTCCCCACCCCCTTGTATGTATGTTTAAATTTTTTAAAAAAGCTTGGGCATAACATTTTTCCTATTTCAAACCCTGTGTCATTCCCTGTGTCATTCCCTGTAGTATTATTCCTTTGTTTAATGGTTACACATGAGAAAAGAGTGACATGAATAATGCAACTTAAACAAAGAATCTTAATTCTAAAAAAGAAGGACACATGGTCTAAAATGGGAAAATATACATCCAAGCTAAAGAGGTTTACAAATTCTCCATTCCACAGCACTATGTCTGATAGAGCAAAAGATCTAATAAACAAGAATAATAAAGAAAAGGGTGGTGGTGATGTTACTCTACGCCCAGTACCTGGCAATGGTAAGCGTACTTACTACCTACTTTGCTCACTCTGACCTAAAGGCTAATTTGAATCAGCCCAAAGGTTAATTTTAATAGTTGGATAAGAGTAATTTGGCCTGTAAAATATTCTAAAGTTTAATATTAGTCCATCATTTTTACATTGCAATTTCAATAAAAGATAAGGATAATATTCTTTATACACAAAAAGATGATGCTTGTTTAAAATTTGATTTAATGATCTTAGTATATTTTTTTAGCACCAAGTTCCCTCTCAGTTGAAGCATATGAAAGAAGAATCCAAAGAATGGAAAGAGAGAAAAGTGATCTTGCTAGAAAACTTCAAGGTAAAAAGACCATTACTGCCAAAATGTATTTTTTTTAAATACAAATAGGGTCAACTTATTAAAAAACTTTTCCATGACATTCACTTCCTATGCACAACATTCATTATTTACAACGCTCAACACTAAAAGAGGTTTCCTTTCTTTTTACTCCATCATTAATTTCCTCATTTTTTATACTTGTAGAATCTACCAAGCTTGTCCATGAGCAGTCTGCTGTAATAAGTAATGAATCAGGAAAAGACCAAGTTGATGCATTAGAAGTGAGAAGACTGAAGGAAGAAACTGCTGCTCTCAAAAAGAAGATCTTAGGTTAGTGCCACAAATAGCTACTGCTTGGTCTCGCTTGACATTATTTCCTTTCTTGTACAATTGTACTCATAAGCATGGGAAGCATGGGTGGCTTAGCGGTGAGAGCGCATGTCTCTCACCAATGCGACCCGGGTTTGAGACCCGCTGAGCTCAGTGTCGTATGTGAGTAGAGTTGTTTGTTGGTTCTCTCCTGTGCTTTTAGGATTTTCTGGGTTCTCTGGCTTTTTTCCCTCCACAAAAATCAACTCCTAACTTCCAATTGAAATTACAGTGGATGAATAGCTACTCTGTAGAAATGCCACTGTTAAATCCCATTTATTTATTTATTTTATTGTTATTTATAAGCTCTTCTGGTCCACTGTAAATTTGATTCTCAGAGTGAAAACATTAGATAAGGGAAAATCTGGATTCTAGATTCCTCGTTTGAATTATTCTACTTTACTCAATCAGATGATGAGGCCCAAACCATGGAGCTTGAAAAGGAATTGAATGAAGCCATAAACACAAGAAAAGATCTGGAATCCAAACAGGAAGGTAAAGCATACATACCAAATACACTGACAATGACTAGTTTGGGACTACATAGGTGTATCGAAATAAAACAAAAGATTAAGAAAGAAAGTCAACGCATTTGTAACGAAAAAGGTCACAAGCCCAAATCCCACCTGGAGCTTGGATTTTTTTTTCTGCCAAAAATTAGCTCTCATAAACTGTGAAACATCATTTACTACATAATTTACAAAATTACCTAGCACAAAGACACCCACATGCATCTCAGTTGTTGGATGAAGGATCTTTAGAATGAAGAGTGTTCTAAAATTCCATCTAGGCCTCATGCCCCACCATGAATTTAAGAAGCTCAGTGGTTAGAGGACCAGGGTAGCAAACAGAAGATCATGCATTTGAATCCTGCCTGGAATTTGATTTTCACATTCAAATTTTTGGAACTTTATTGATGTTTATAGACATTAGTCATTCATCAGAGTTGTGTCTGGGTCGCAAAATTGAGTCCCAAGCTAATAATCCTTCTTTTTTATTTGGTAGACATAAACTCCAAGGTCAGATCACTGGAGAGAGAGAATAGAGGAATCAAGATAGAGAAAGAAGATCTGGAAAGAGTATGTATTAGAATATCATAACTGCATCGTTTCCTTTATAGTATTAGATCTCATGTCTCCTTACACTCCACTCATCCATTTCAAACAATTCCGCTCATCACAACCTTTTTATTCTGAGACATATCTCTTTTTTTCCAGGTATTGCAAGAAGCTAATGAAAAAATCGCCTCACAGCAAAAAGAACTTAAAGAAGCCCAGAATCAAAGAAAACTGGCCATGGCTGAGTTCAGTGAGTTGAACGATAAACTAGCAGACATGAGGTCTCAGAAGACCAAACTATCAAGAACTGTCAGAGAAAAAGAAGAAGAGTTGGGTATGTGAATTAAGAACTGTAAGCCATCTAGGTGGGATGTTAAGAGAGAGAGAAATACATTGTATAGTTTTCTTTCTGGCTTACCAATACTAACTTTTCATGTTTTCAACTGTCAGAGAGTTCTCTTCAGAAGCTTGACAGCCTGCGTCTGGAAGTGAGGAATGCTGATCGCAAGAGAAGAGAGGTAGATAAAGACTTTCAGTCATGCAATTTAAACTAAATAATAGACACGTCTTTTATCACATTGGCAAGATAATTAGCATTAACTCCATCTTGAAAAATAGGTGTCTAAGACTCATAGTATGTATGAGACTACAAGTGTTTCTTAACTTCTAAATTCCTATTGGCTTTGGCATGCATTAAAAGATTTCACTGCTGTTTTTTTCTTTTGTATTTATGAATTGATTGGTATAATTTTATTGGGATCCATGTATTTGTGATATTAACTAAAGAAATTTGTTTCATCTTGACCAGCTAAATACCCAAGTGGAAGAGCTGACTTCTGATGCAAACAGAGAAAAGAAACTAAGACTAAGAAGTGATCAGGTATGGAATCAAATTTTTTGTTTCTATTTTATTCTAAGCTTAACTAGTTCATCAGGTTATTTATGACAGCAGGAGTAGTGAGAATTTCAACCAAAGGGCTGAAAATTATGTCATCTTCCTATACTTCCTATACTCTTTTACTCCAACAAAGGACTAGCGTCTAAACCTCAGTAGGTTTTTTCATCTTTTTACGGTGTAAAATTTACCCTTTTATCATTACTGTTTCATTAGAAACACCGACGCAGCTCACACTAGTTTTTATATGATTAAAATATCCTTTTCTTTCAATTCCTTGGTCATGTGGTAACTCTTCCTTATCACGTGATCAAAAAATGTTCTGACCCTTTTCCTTTCTCCACCTTTTCCTGCTGCCAATGTGTGGCCATTTATTTCCAGTCTTTTGATTAAAAATATATGTGATTTTATCATCATAATGCTTTTGTTATTAGTAACCATGAAATATCACAGTCTATACTTCTCATTGTCTTATCAACGTAATTACATTTTAGGACTAAATAATGGAATGTCTTTCTTATTTTCCAGTATTCCAAACAGCTTGAAGAAGAGATTGAATATCTTAAGGTGAATGATGCATTTTTGTTTATTTATTTATTTATTTTGTTGTGTTTGATATGTAGTTTTATATTATTTTAAATAGTAAACTCACTCCTGTTGCCAACATCAAAATCTATTCAAAAATTCCTTTTTTCTCTCTCTCTTTATTTATTTATTTATTTGTTTTGTTTCGTTTTGTTTCGTTTTGTTTTGTGTGTGAGTTTTTCCTTTAATGCTAACATTAACCATTAATAAAAGTTTCTCTGTGATGCTACAACAGATGTTGATGGTTTCTAGCTGCTCAAGCTGTCTTTTCTGATTTAAGTTTTAAAATTGTCATTGGTAATTTTTAGATGCCATGTGCTAAATTTTAGTTCATAATTGTTGCCTTGATGTACAACCATTTACTAAGAAGAATGTCTTTTAACCTCTTAATAGGCCAAGCAAAGGAGCCTCGGACGACCTTTCCCATCTGACACAACAGCTGAAGAACAACAACAAGAGATTTCCAAGTAAGTACATAATATAGACTTTTGCTGTCAATGATTTTTAAATTATTTAAAATAAATTATAAGGTATTAATTAATCAACTACATTAATTCCAGACTCAAAGCTGATATTGATCGGCTAAAGCTGGAAAGTGAAGAGACCATTCAACAGATCAAATTTAAACATTCATCTGAAGTCAAGGTAAGAATTGATGCATTAATTATTATTAACCTGACATTCCCCATTAAAGTAATAAAGTTTTAGACTTGGGGTTTAAAAATAGAATATAAAAGCAGAGTCAATGATACATGTACATGGGAAGTATGTTGATTAGATATAGCTCGTGTAATGTTCATGAATAGTTGCAGTGAAAGAAAGCATGAACGCTTTTAACACATGTTTCTTATCAAATGTTTTTAATCTCAAATGAATAGGTCATAAGATGATCATGTTATTTCCCAGAATACCTTTCAGTCACAGTTTCTATGTTCTATGTTTTAAACCTGAGAACGATGTTGCATTGTTTTGAACCCATTCCAGTATATTTATTACTTATTTACCACTTCTATTTCTTGGATCTCTTTATTTAATTTAAACTTTTGAAGAATATAAAAGTATTAGCTAGACAGCATTGATTTCCGATATTCATTGTTTAGTAACTGTTTTTGTGGAAATGTGTATTTCCTGTGGAAATCTTATATCCCTTTAGGAATCACAAAAATGTAATAATATATATACCCTGCTACCCCCTCCCACTTTCCCTTAAGAATTCCTGTAACCTAATAGTTGGGTGCCATGATGTACCACTAGTGTAATCTGAGGTCTCTAAAATTTATCAATATGTAGCATACTAAGTCACTGTGCTTCTTGAACAATGTTAATAGGAGTTAAATGAAAAACTAATGGATTCTGAAACAAGCCGACAGGCTCTTCAGAATGAGGTAAGAACATTGTCTTTTCACATCCTGGGTCTAGGAAATTTCCATTTTTCAATGTTCTTAAAATTTAACTCTACTGCTTTGAACTTGCAAATGTTGGAAATGGAAGTTTTGCTGCTGCCAATCAAAAGGGCTTACAACAGTTACTGAGTAACAGTAGTTTTGATTGACAGTAAGAAACATCTACTACAGTATTCAATTTTGTGGACATTCTCACTGCAGCTAGAATATGGATGCCTGATTATAATATGGAAAACTGTTTTAGCTCTAGAACCTAAGACATGTTATTCCTAACTTTGAATCTTTATGTTTAATGATTTATAGGTTGCTTCTTTGAGTTCTAAAATCAATGAAACCAGACTGGACAGGTAAATAAGCAAAAAAATATCAGTATAATTAAACTTCAGAGATAATACCACCATGATGGGCATGCCAGTCCATGGTGATGGAGGTAACCATGGTAACCATCCTCCAGCAGGAATATGTTTTAACCTTGTCTAAATTACTTTAACCACATTTAAGCAGCTAAAAATAGAATATTTTTATACTTTAATTTTCAAAAACAGTCAAAGAGAGCAGCACGAAATGACTTTAGAGATGAACAGAAAGAATGAACGGGAAAGAAAACTTTTGAAAGAAGAAAACAAGAAACTTCAAGCTGAAGTGGACAAGGTATGTGATCCTCAAACAATCTGAATCTATCCAAGAACATGAATATATACATATTATATTTGAGATTTGCAGGCTGCAAATTTGAGCAAAATATTGTGAACATTGAGCACACTTCACTGATGATTGCTTACTATTTAGTTGTCACAAGCCCTAGAGAAAGGCTCTGCCTCACAGCGTCGACTTGAAGAGGAGCTGAGGGAAAGCAGTGAAAAGAAAGATGCTGTAGCACACTGGGAGGCTCAGATTGCTGAGATAATCCAGTGGTAAGAATGTGGTTAAATATTACATACATCTTCAGGAGGGATTTTCAAGGGATTGGAATATGTGTGTATTTCATTGTATTTTCCCTATAAAACAAAACTCATAGCTGAGTTTGGAAAGTCTTATGTCACCCCCTCCCTAAGTTATTGTTTGTCACCTTCTGGATCTTCAATCTTGGACCCTTTCACATTTATATCATTGCACATGACTCATTTACCTTCATTCACTTTTCTTTCAATACTTTCATTTTTTGCTGTTCAGTAGTAAGATTCATCAGGTTAAATTTTTGTTTGCTTCTTTATTGGTGTACAGGGTGAGTGATGAGAAGGAAGCCAGAGGTTACCTTCAGGCTTTGGCTAGCAAAATGACTGAGGAGTTAGAGGGACTCAAAGCATCTGGGTATTCTAGCCTTCCAAGAGTGAGTATTTATTTCATATTTAAACATTGCTTTCTGATCACTTCTTGTGATTGTAAAGTTTGCATCAACTCTACAGGGAATCAGATAATCCTGTCAGGTCCTCAACATTGAAAATCTAGTATAATTCAGCACCTGCAAAGTTCGATAAGACAGCTTTTTTTTTTTTAAAATACAGTATAATAAATGATTTCATGATCTGTGCTTAGAATTGTTTTACGTACTTGATATCACAACACAGATAAGAAGCGTCTTATTAATACATCTAACTATAGCATTCAGTAATCGCATGTTTAATAGATGACATTTCGACATGTCATTGAGTCAAAAATTCTAGCAAATAGATTATGGTTTATATATAGGTGTCCAGTGTTCAGAATAACCACATCAAGTATATTTGCTTTATAATGTTATAAGAATTTATATCTACCTTGTATGATAGGGAGAGAAAAACCAGTGGCAATTGAGAAGATCACAGAAAGTAGACAAGCAAGAGATTCTTACTCTACAGTCCAACCTGCAGGCTGAGATCCAGGTGAGTTCTATGTGCTTCTTAATGCTTGCACTTTGTCTGGTATTTGGGTATCAGGTCACTGGATTAGAGGGTCCCTCTTCATGTAGTAAATGAGGCAACCTTCAACTTCACCTTTGGTAGGGGGATTGAAATCAAAAACATACATAAAATGCCAATTTTTCTCAGCCTCCCTCTTCCTTGGGTTCTGACAGGAAGCCTAGAGAAAAGATGATGAAAAAATTCAAAGAGAGATATTGCTGTGGAGGACACAACCACATAAATCTCCAGGTTTAAAGCAACTACAATGTACTAAGATTGCATCAAAAATCTTTTTTCTTTACAGGCAAAGCAACAACTGTCAGAGGAACTAAACAAGAGTAAAGCTATCCTGATCACTACTGAAAAGTAATTAAATATTTACTGGAAATATGAAGTGTTCATGCATTGAAAGTGGTCAGGAAAATGTTTTCGGAATTTTGTTTGGAAATCCTAAAATGAATAATATAACTTTATTGGACTGAGTTTAGTGTACATAAACACCATTTTTTCGATCCCTGAAGTCTTGGGCTGCATTTGGCCAGGAAAATGCTCGGTTGGTTATGTTTTCAGTTGTCCAGGAATCCTAAATCAACGATTTTTTTCCTGGTCAAAGTTACAATAGTTTGACATTTGTTTGTTGGGAAGTTCTTTATCATTACCAGAAGTCGTTTTTGTGTCAGCTTCATAAAGATTATGACAAATCCTCTTTTTTGTGTAGGAAACTAGCTGAATCTGAAGCAAATTATAACCTCTTGAAAGAGGAAATACAAAAACTGAAAAAAGAGAATGAACAGCTGAGACAAGCTGAACCACACAAGGCAGGAGGTGAGTTGGTATTGACTAGGATAATTGTACTTATGATTATTACAAACTTCTATTTGCAAACTTCTACGCATTGGCTTTCCTATGCTAAACCAACGCATTTCAATGCAAAGCTGGCTGGTTTTACCAAATAAGACGTGTAAGAGCTCATTTGGTGGCCAAAAGTCTGTTCATAGATGTATGTAATCACATTAAATGTAGTCATACTTTTGGGCATTGTGCTGTAATGAAGAAATAGAAAACGTGCGCGCGTACTGTGTGCTGTCATAAAGCACACGGGGGTTGGCAGAATACGAGAGAATTGTTAGGAGAAGCACGACACGTAGTGGAGTGCTTCTGGACACTTCTCGAGTGTTCTGCCAATCCCCAAGTGCTTTATGACTGCACACAGCACAGCAAGCAAGTTTTTTATTTCTTTTATAAAATACAAATTACAATAGGAATGACGCAACGGAAAGTGCGCGCTCGTGCAATGTGCTCTCATAAAGCACGCGCTCCAAACCGATCAGGACGCAACATTCATAACAGTTATTTTATAATACATATTATCAGTCACAATCAAGGCTATTTATTTTAGAAGATGTTTCATTATCATGTTCAAACAAATTTTATTATTTATCGTCATTATTATTATTATTATTATTATTATTATTAATATTATTGTTAGTATTGTTGTTTGACAAATAAATTAATATAAAATATTATTATGCCTACAGATCTTCCATTCTTGTCTTACTTGAAAGAACAACCTTCTCCTTCAAGACTTGAGAATGTTTCAGAGGTATAAAAGACAATGTTGTTATGATCAATGTCATAATCTAGATCTCCACCTTATAAATCATTATCTGTGCTTTTCAGGAAAGCGAAAATGATGCATTTGCCCATCAGCGGCAAGGTTCTCAACGATCTGTTTCTAGTTATGCTTCTGATGTAAGTAGAGATCACTGTTTAACCCTGTTTAAGCATGTCTGTGCTCTAAGATTTGTAAAACTATTAAATTAACTTTTAATGCCCTACTTTTGTAAGTAATTCCTTTTTGACTTACTCCGACGAAGGACTAACGTCCGAAACGTCAGTTTCACAAAGCTTCTTATGGTGATTCAATTTATCCACAAGATCCTGCTGTTTTATCCAGAAATACCGACGCAGTCCACGCTAGTACTCTACTAGTTATCACCTTTCAATAAGGATTGGTGTCACCTGTTTGGGATGTTGAATTGTGGTCAAGCTTGCGGTCAAACTTTTTGTTTTGCTTACCATACTGTACATAGCGTCGTACCCAAGACCAACATGCATCCTCTTTATATTCTTTTTTTTTTTCCTCACTTTTTCTTGATTGCTTTTCCGCAGAATTATTCTATGAGAACCACTTCCGTGTCATCAGTATCATCACTTGCTTCTCAAGTAAGTCTCTATTCGGATGTTCTCTTATGGGATATAGACCCCTTGCAGCACTTTGGAATGCAGCTCAATTTGAAGGGCAAACCGATAGGTTTCTAGTAATTATTTTGTCCTCCAAATTGAGCTCCTTTGACGTCACATGCAAGTGGTCCATATACTCCTGGCAATTATTCTCAACCTGGCAGTCAAAGCAAAAAATATATAGACCTTTTTACCTTGGGCTTAAGGTTTTCGCATTTCAGACTACTTYTTGTTTGAGTTGTATCCATATTCATGTGTTTTCTCCTCGCGTGCAACCATTAAACAAAGAAATGATACATTAGGGAATGAAACGTGGTCTGAAATGGAAAAACATTACGCCGAAGCTAAAAAGGGTCTATTCCGTTCTCTTTATCATTTAATGTTATTAGTGTCAATATTTTCATTGATTGGAATCAGGCTGGGATTTCGTGTAGCAAGAGGGTTAAAAGGAATGAATGGATTGTGATTTTCAGGTTCTAGGTTTCAATGATAAAATGTATCATTTCATCTAACAGCCTTGTCTTTGTTTTTCAGCCACGTTCTCACAAGTTTTCAGTGCGAACGTTTACAACGCCAACTAAGTGTAATCAGTGTACATCTCTAATGATAGGTGTGGTTAGACAAGGATCGGTCTGTGAAGGTAAACTACCTAAATATTACTATCAAGAGCGTACCTTATAAACCAATATGCTTTCCTGTTAGTACATACTACTCTATCGGTACAGTTATGCAAAAACCTTACGTTCACCAAAATCTATTTCGTCGCGATGACGATTCCGCTTGTAAGTTTTACTTTTTCCTGTTTTCTGAGGGATCTTCAAGAACTACCCAATAGCCCACTTCCGAGATATGCTTCGCTTGTCACGCACAAAGGTTTCAGTACGAGGCTACGTGCTAATTGCTCAGTCATTCGTGACAGGCGGTAAGAATAAATTTAATTTAGCACGTAGCCTCATACTGAAACCTTTGTGCGTGACAAGCGAAGCATATCTCGGAGGTGGGCTATTCATCTGGCTTTCAATTTCCAACAATCCATTAGTAATTATATGAAAATTGGCAAAATGTCCACCATTGTTACCAGTGTTCATTTGCTTTTCTTTAGAATTGGGTGTCACTAGACGTGACGTAATCATTTTTATTGACAGCAAGCAAAGGGTTGCGTGCGCATCCAAATTTAGGGACTTGACGGGCCACGATACCAGAACAGGAGCTTTTTAATGACAATTATCATACATTTCTATGATTTTTTTTCTCGATAACTATTCATAAAATTGATTATTCTCCTCTTTAAATATAAAACTTTCTTCTCAATTTTACTGAATTTGCGTTTTACGATTTTGTTGCCCGTCAAGTTGGATGCGCACGCAATCTTGAGATAACGGCTGATTGAAGATTGGATAGATGTCTGGGTCGGATGATTGTGATTGTGATAACATGCAAAAGGTTGAGTGTTGTTTGTTTATTTGTTTGCAGTCTGTGGATTCTCATGCCACTTAACGTGCACGGAGCAGGTTCCTCCTGTCTGTCCTTGTCCTCCAAGTCAAGGTAACGTGCTCATTTGGAATAACTTCACATTTTCTCAAGCGCGATATATATCGTATAGTCATGTCAAAGTACCTGGTAGGTGGTGTCGCAAACACTGAGAAAACATACAAAAAATTCCTTTATTTGCTTTAGTCTCGTCCAACCCTAGTCAATACAATCATGTGAATTAGTTAAGCAACAAAAATTTGTCTCGGCTTTCTACTACATCGTTTGGTACAGCGCCGGGACGCATTCATTGATTTATGCAGACTGCACATTCATCATTCATTTGGATAACTTATTTTTTGTTGAGCTTTATTACTTTTTTCCATAGCTAATCGCAGACCATTTGGTATTGATCCAGAAAAGGGCATCGGCACGGCGTACGAAGGTTTTGTTAGGGTATGTATCCAATGTTATTTCAACTTCATCTTCATCATCATCATCATTAATCACCAATGCTTTATTATTATTAGCATCACACCAATTTCAGAGCAGTAATTTATCAAATCTAACTTCCTTTTCTATGGTCTGTACTCTTATCGAACATGAAATAACATCAGCATATGATCGAAACTCAAGTGGAACCACGAGCTGCAACTCTTATATGCAACCTTGGTATAACCACAGTATTATAAAGAAATGTAACATACAGCAACTTTTCTTGCAAAAAAAGCTTTTCCTTCCCATTCTGGTTAAAGTTGCGCGCTACAATGCTTAGGCAAGGATTCAACAGATACGCCGTGTGTCTTGGACCCTATTCCACAATCACTATTGCTCCACCAGTTTTATTATTCATTTGATGATAACGACGTCGTTTTCCATACAGATTCCCAAGCCTGGTGGAATCAAGAAAGGCTGGATGCGACAGTTTGCAGTAGTGTGTGATTTCAAAATTTTCCTGTTCGACGTGACGGGCGATAAACCACCACATATTTCTCAGTCCGCTACACAAGTCATAGATATGAGGTAAGAACAGACCGATCCCGTCCATGCTTTAGTATCCACCCAAACATTGAGTAGTTTTCCCAATGTAATACAGAATGTCCGACCAAAACAAACTCGAATTCATAAGATTGTTTTTAGTAGTCATCGATTTTTTTCTTAATGTACCTCCAAAAATGCATTGATTCTAAGACAGACATTTACATTTTTTAACAATCGGTGTCTGTTCCATGCTGTATATCAACACATTTTAGCTTTTCCGACATAGCAACAGTAATTAGGAAGTTAGAACAATTGAATGTGTTCGACTGATTAACCAACATGGCGGCTGTTTCATTGTGACTTATATCTCAAGGGATTTCGAGTCAAGTGGTTACACCCCATTGATAGATATGTTAACACAAGTATTCTTGATCTTACAGGGATGAAGAGTTCTCAGCTAGCGGTGTTCTACAAGCTGATGTCATACACGCCAACAGAAAAGAGATCCCTTGTATATTCAGGGTACGGTAACTTAATCTATTTAAATCTCTTATAGGAGTGTTTTTGAATGAAAAAGAATAGAGAAAGAAGAGAAAAGAGTGCACGTCTTTTAGTACATAGATCAAAACTAAGAAAATCATTCGAAAAACACATGTTTTGGCGTCACTTACGAGGCTGGCGTCGAGAAACCCGAACGTGTGAATGAAACTTTTTTATCCATATAGAGGCTTTGCACCATCACGTGATGGCAGCCATGACAGGAGGCACAACAGAGTCGTTTTCCCCTGGGAAACTGAATCCTTTGTCATGTAAATCAGAATAAACCACATTCAATTGTCCCTGCCTCCTGTTATGGCTACCATCACGCGATGGTGCAAAGCCTCTATAAACCTATCTAATACAACTGAGCAAATTAATAATACTCAAGGGTATGAAACGTGAACTGAAACAGGAAAACACTAGATAGATTGGGTCAGTGATGATAAACGTCCTGCTCAACCACTAGGAACGCTATGCACAGACTCACTTTTAGATTTCAAGGAGTCGAATACCGTATGGCCTAACAATAGAGGGTTTGCACCATCACGTGATGGCAGCCATGACAGGAGGCAGGAACAGTATATTCTGGTCTAATCTGATTTACATGACAAAGAATTCAGTTTCCCGGGGGAAAAGACTTTATTGTTATGCCCCCTGTCATGGCTGCCATCATGTGATGGTGCAAAGCCTCTATACCAGTAGTTCACAAACCCTCCTACTTTTACTATTTAAAAGATATTTTATTTATTTACAACTTTTATTTATTGAGGATAAAACGAAACAGTAAAATACTGGACCCATGCATTACCTACTCAATGTGATTAATGGTGTTGTATACTATTTGTAGGTGACCGCTTCACAGATGACACCCCCTGGTGAACCATTGACACAGCTGTTCCTCACTGAAAAAGAGAAAGATCGAATCAAATGGGTTACTGCCCTGCAAGAACTCCACAAGATCCTTAAAAAGAACTTTGATACCTCAAGGACGGTAAAAATTATATCATGTACAAATTCCTGAGATACTTTTTGTAGAAGATATTATTTAGAAACGTCTCTTTTGTCTGGGACGTCATGATGACGTGATCAACTCGGTTGACCATAAACCGCATAAAGTCGCTTTTTGTTGTTATTGTGGTTGATGTGGTTTTGTTTTGGTTTTCATTTCTTTTGTAAGATCATTGTTTTCATCATTGTTTTGGGTAATTGATTTTTACTATTAGGTTAAATATGGTTTTGTTTTCTGGTTTATGTGGGGAATGTTTCGTGGTACAGTGAAATTTGAAGGACAAGGAAAAGGTGTCATTCAATAGGCCATTTCACGGATCCCGTTACTCAACCTCAGCCTCGTCAGCGTGTAATTATTCTTTAGAATTTGACTACAGTCCGCAGTAATGAAAGGAATTTACACATCAACGAACAATTGAAACAATTAAAAATTTCACAGATTGTAGGCAATTTCTAAAGAATGTATTACACGCTGACGAGGCTGAGGTTGGGTAACGGGATCCGTGAGATGGTCTATTGCATTTCTTATACTCTCGTTGGTATGCTAGAGTCGTTTTCCACTTCCTGCTTTATACAGGAAATGACGACACACAAAAGATCCCTGCAATGTCTCCTAATGAGTTGCATTTATTCGTTTCCTAGCAAATATTTCAAGCCAAAGAAGTTTGCGATCCCGGCCTTATTCATCTTAAGCAAACCTTGAGTGCAACGATCATCGGTAAGTATCTTATATGAAAAACATTTCTGTACATTGTCTTTCTTTTCATTCCATTCCTTTGTCAGTCTGTCCGCCGGTGTGTCTTAGGTCTGCCTGTCTTTGTGTTTTGTCTCTGTTTGTCCGTCCCTCCGTCCGTCCGTGCACCCTTCAAATCTGTCTGTCTTCATGTCACTCTATCTATTCGTTCGCCTGTTCATATATTGAAAATACAGAAATAAAATTCCTTTTTTTCCCAACAGATACTGATCGCGTGGTTCTAGGTACTGAAGATGGATTGTTCTCCCTTGAGCTAATGAAAGGAAGTAAGCCATGCATCTCGATTGCTGCTCCAAAGTGGTCAGCTATTAACTTGAAAGAACCTTTACTAACATACGTTTGTTCTACACAGGTATTAGTCGCATTGGTGACAACAAGAAAGCCTACCAAGTCGAAATGTTACCAGCAGATCAGTTAATCGTATTGATATCTGGTAAGGCAATAAAACATATACTGAACCTCGTACGTACCGTACCGTACCGTGACCGTGATGAGGACATATCTCTGCAGTTTGATTGGATGATCCATGATGTCGCGTTCTTTATTGGTGAAACTTATTTCTTTACTTGTGCTATGGACTTGGGGCGTGTTTATTTCTGGTTCATGAGAGTATTCTTCCATTGTACGTTACGTCATAGCAGCCTCTCGGGGAATCGTTGGTGCCTTTTAACAAACGATTTCTCATAAGCATTCATTGTTAACTGCACCAAGATGGCCGCCATGTTTTTTCTTTTGACTCTCTTGGGATGCTTTCCACCCATCTATTGCACCTAGATAAGGAGATATACGAGTTCAAACAGTTGTCATATTTCTTTGTCCGCAACATTCTACAGCGGAAGAGACTCGACGGTCGGGGTTACTTGTTCCGATCCTGATTAGTACAAATCCAGGTTTGATCACCGAGACAACAAATGACCTCATATAAGATTTAATCCAGATTCGAGGGCTGAGTTAGTCAAGACCAGACCCATAAAGGTTGTTACCTAGAATAAGCGCTCATAATAAACTTGTGTGTTGTAGGTAAAAACCGTCACATCAGACTGTATCCATCGTCTACACTTGACGGGCATGATACAGAACCAGTAAAGATCGCTGAAACCAAAGGTATGTGACTTGAACTCAATAGCGCATGTTTCAAACAAAAACAAACAAAATTAGTACTTGTCAACACAACGGAAAACAATAAAAAAGCATCTAATTCTTCAGTTTTGTTTTTCTTTCTGCTGAAGGGGGGGGGGGGGGACCGTCATTTGACGTGATGATCCCAGCCACGAGGAATTCACATCGCAAATTTAGAGAGCCAAGGTTTTTACGCTAATGCCGGCTTGCGTTTAGAATAAGAAGCAAACTAAAAATAACGAACCTTTGCATCAGTAACATGTTATATCGTGTTATATCAATAACTGATAGATGTGTGTAATACTAATATTTGTGTGTTTTGTTTCAGGTTGCTCGATGTTTGCTACAGGAGGAATTCATTCTCATTCTTCCACCTGTCTGTGCGTAGCTATCAAGAGACATATCGTTGTTTATGAACTTAATAGAACCAAATTCAGGCATCTTAAAATCAAGGTCAGTATTCACATAAAGGAAATCTCGTATGACGTCAGCCATGTAGTTGTTTATCGTGATCAAAATGGTTGGATGAGGTATGGTCACGAGATGAAATGCGAATTTTCCGTAGTAATTTTTTTTCCAATCGTTTTGACTTTGACAAGATTAGACAAAATATACCTTTTCGTAAAAAGGCGCGGGGGAAAATGGGTTCAGAAAATGCATTGTTAACCTATGACGGAGGTACGCAAAAAATTAGTTGGCGATGTGTTTTTGTTTGCAAGTACTGCACTATCACTTTATTGTTGTGACTTCCTGGGTTTAACCAATTCGTCTTTCGTTTCAGGACATCCATCTGAACTTTAACTTACAATGGATGGGTGTGTCATTTGGGAAACTAATAGTGGGATACGTGTCTGGCTTCACTATATACGCCTTGGAAGGGGATGCACAGCCACAGAGTAAGTACTACAAGTACCAGAATCCTTTGCACACTTTCTTTTGTCGGTAAATTAGCAGCTACTACTCTTCCCAGTAGACCGAGGTAGTTGTGATTTTTTAATCGCCTTCATAGCGTCTGTTATTTTATTCGCAAGTACATTTCAAATCGACCACGTGATGCCAATGTTGTACCACGAGGACAAGTTTTTTACACCACGTGATCAAAATTCAGTCAAGTTTTAATCACGTGGTGTAAAAAAACTTGTCCACGTGGCATAACATTGGCATCACGTGGTCGCTTTGAAATGTACTTGCGGATAACATAACAGACGCTACGAAGGCGATTAAAAAATCACAACTACCTCGGTCTACTGGGAAGAGTAGTAATATGTCCTGCTATTCTAGCGAGGCAGTAAACATTTAAATGTGAATGGCGATTTGTGAAATATTATGATAGTGGTTGAAATAACGGAGTCATACAATTGTTTATAATGTTGATCTTAGAAGGCACAAGAGTAATTTGTGTTTGTCGTTTGTTTATCAGAACTTGTCAATGCAGATGACCCAACCTTGAATTTCATTACAAATAACCCGGTAGATGCGATGCTAGCGGTGGAGATCGAGCCTTCTAAGGAGTACCTACTATGCTTCAATCGTAAGATACCTAAATAGATGAGTCTGAATGAATGGGAAATGGGAAGAATTACTAGGTGGGAAGTGAATGGTTATGACTGCAGATCAAGGAAATGAGAATTAAGATAAAAGGATTTTCACAGAAGTTACTGAACAAGGGAATGCTTTTGAATGGCATGTGAATGAAAGAGAAATGAGATAAATGAACTGAATGGTCAGTGAATGTTTAGACTACGTCATAAGCAAGAAGGAATGGATGAAATGCTACTGAGAGCATGATTGAATGCAAAGAAGAGACTTAAAAAACTTACTAATAACTACCGCTTGTACAGCATTGGCGCAGCTCAACGAGCCGGTCCAAACTGAAAGCATGTGAAGGCGCCTCTGGCAGCCGCTACAGTGCTGCTACAGCTCTGAAAGTGTGTTGGTGGCTAAGCTAATGAGTAAAATAATGATACCTTCCAGTTGTTGTTTACTCGAGTTCTGTTGTTGCTTTCCAGTATTGGGTATCTTTGTGGATTCTAGTGGGTATAGATCAAGGCGATACGAGCTGATGTGGCCTTCACCACCTAACTCAGTCGGTAGGTCACAACTTCTAAGAATTTTCTAGTTGTCGTGTTTTTCACTTGCTAAAGAATTATTCACCCTACCAATCAGTCTGCTTGGCAAACGTTGAAAAAACATTGGTAATGACAATGCTACCATACCACTAAACTCGTACGGTCAGCTCTGTGCTTTGAGACTTGAGTTTATTGTGCACCAATATTTACACGTTTAGGCTATAAATTACAGAAAGCTACGCTTAAAAATATAAGAAGAAAAGAACAGGTAGGAGCAAGGGCGGATCCAGCCAAAGTTTTAGGGGCGGTCTTATTGAGTTTCTTCCTTCAACACAACGGAAAACAATAAAAAAAGCATCTATTTCTTTTTTTTTTTTTTTTTT